ACATAAATCTGCACCTATGGCATGGACGACGAAACAAAACCTGTCAGAGCCGTAATGCGGCGCAGAAGTGTGCAGTGTGTGCTTGCCGCAAAACAAAACCTCGTCAGAGCCGTAATGCGGCACAGAAGTGTGCAGTGTGTGCTTGCCGCGCATCTACATTTGAAATAACGAACCTGAGCGTGCAAAAGAGGCGATGTGAACAGCTATTTTTCCCCCTGCATGTCATGTGTGCGGGACTCCGTTTTTATGATGAGAGGAGAGGAAAGGTTGAGAAAGCACTCCAAGTAAATTTTGAAATGTACCAGGTAGGGCTGCACGATATTGGAAAAAACTCCCATTGCGATACATTTTTTTTCTGCGATATATATTGCGATATGGAAAAAAAAAACAGATGACTTCAGTAGCTCTATTTGGGGGAAAAAAAAAATAAAATCAATGATGGGTGATTTTGTAGATGAGTAAGTCAGCATAGGAAATAAACAAATTTCAAGCATATATAAATAACAGAACAAAGATACAAATGAAATAAGCAGTGCTTTATGTTTTTCAGGTAAGTCTAATAGTATTCAGGCACAGAAATTGAATAATCAAATGTAAAATAACACTGCATAGTTTTCACTATAAACTAAATCTAACAAATCTGTGTTAAAGCTACAAAAGTGATTTTTTTCTTGATTGAAAAGTGTTTTGTTGTTGATTAAAGGGGTCATATGATGCGATTTCAATTTTTCCTTTCTCTTTGGAGTGTTACAAGCGCTTGGTGCATAAAGAAGATCTGTAAAGTTGCAAAGACTAAAGTCTCAAATCCAAAGAGATATTCTTTATAAAAGTTAAGAGTTAGCCTTAGTTTTTTGGGCAGTGTAGAGTAGGGCTTGTTGTTTGTCATTTCTCCGATCACAAATGACTCTTCTCTATCTCAAGTATAAGCTCACTCGCCCACTCAGTCTTCCCTCGGTATCCGAAATGAACCGTTCTCCATGGACGACAGGGGCAGTGGTGTCCCCATACAAGGTTAAGCAATTTGTCCACTGTGTGACCCCACATGAACCAGCTGATTAAAATTCCAACCAATTCTCTTTCTGTCCCTTGCCTTTCTCTGTCTCTCTTAAAGTTCCCTATCCTTTTAAATACAACCCAGATGTTTCTTAAATCCCCCCCCCCCCCTC